CTTTGCTCTATGATGCCTTCACAAGTGTGACACCCAGAACTGGTTTCAATACTCCAGTTAAGACCTACCAGTGTTTTGTACAACTTTAACATAACTTCCTTGTCTTAATATTCTATGGCACTATTAATGAAGCAGACAGCATTCTAGGATTTATTAACCACCTTCTCAATCTGCCTTCCACCATCAATGATTATTGCACATATACACTCAGGTCTCTTCTGGTTACCTCCCCATGTTCTGTTAACCACATTGAATCTTCACATTTCTCTGCAAAAAAAATCACCTGCTACTGGTCTCTCCACTCCACCAACCTTTATGTCCTTTTTGAAGTTCTGTGTGATCCTCCTTACAGCTTACAACACTTCCAAATTTTGTATCATCTGCAATCACCGTCAGTATTCGAACCACCATTCATATCTAATAAATGTTCCCTCTAACTCTTTCTGCCTTACACAATCTGGAGAAGATGGGAATCTATGGGGTTAATAGTAACACCCAACAGGGAAGGAGTTAAAAATTAAACATTGTAATGTGTCCCTAAGCCTCTGCTTGTGCATCTGTTGTCATGGTTATAGCAACGGGTTGCATGGCCTGTTTGCATGTATCTTCAAGGTAGAATTCATTATAATTTTTAAATAGGGTTTCTCGAGTACAGTTGAGAGCTGAAATTAAATTCATTGTTCCAAGGGCTCAGGAAACCTAGCTGCTAAATGATGGTGGAAGCTACAGAAGGTAAGAGCCAAATCTTGTGGAAATTGGAAATTAAAAACAAAGTGCTGCAGATGCTCAACAGATTGGTGCAAAGTCTACGGAAGAGTTTGCACTTTGAGTCAAATGTGATTTTGTTTCAGCACTTCCTTTTAAATTGCATAAGGTTTTTTTTTGAAAGCTGTGAGTCAGGCTGAGCCAAGTGTTTCTCCACAGCCTCTTAAGCCATGTGCACATTGCAATATCTCCTTTCTGCTGTGATCTGCAGTTTGTTTTTATTTCCCACCCTATTCTGATCCTGAGCTTCAACCCTGTAATCTGCCAAACCTCCTAACCCATTGGCATTCTCTGTCTCTCCCCTGCTGTGAATTTTTGGCCAATTCTACAGCCTTCTTCCAAGATTGCAAACTTTCCCAATTGCCAGAAACCATCCAGAATAATCTGACTAGTTGCTGGTGGGAAATTGAATAAATACTTTTATTTTCCAAAATTATACCTTCATAAACAGTTCACATTTGGTATCATATTAATGTTTATTACACTTATATATTACACTTCAGCTTCTTTCCCAACAGTACATGAGCTACCTCATAGACTTACAATTACAGGTTAAATTTGTAACTCATGTCAACAAGTCATGTCAAGTATTCTTTGATGCATATTGTTTGAGGGTGCCAGCAGCTAGGAAAACAGATAAAGGAAGTGGGACATAAAAGTGCAACAGCTCAATACAGTGAGGTGCCTCACTAACTTACATCTTTGTTGCAAAAAAAATCCTTATTGAGTTTACATGACTACCTCACATGACAGTTCAAAGTCAATGTTACATAAAGGAGAAACAAGATTAGTTTCTTTCAATACAATATGTGGCAATCTGAGTGTCTCACTTCACATCAAATGACACCTTAAGTCTACAAAATTTATTCCATGTCAAACAGCCCAAGGGGTTTTACAGTGTTTGGCAGGAGGGCATTAGATAATGACCTTTCCCCATTGCACCTTTGCCCCAAGCTTTAGTGCATCTTTCAACATCACGTCTGGGATCCTGTTATGATTACAACACTTGGTAATTGACCACTCTTTGCACTGGAAAACTAACAGGTTTCCTACAGATCAAAGGTGTCCGTATTTTAAATTGTTGGCCCTCTAGTTAAGATTGATGCTTGTTGAAATAACTCAACAGAGGCCGGTATTCCATCACCACGTCACCCTTTATTTACACGTGGAGAGTCCTTGACACTGATCCAGCTCCCTCAGAGCCAGCTCTCAGAGTGAACAGAACCTTTCAGACTCCTGTTTATATCTGTCAGCCAGGGCTCCCTGATTGGACCAGATTAACAGCCCCAATCTGGGAACTCATTTTCAATGAGGCCCACCTGGCAGACCTCGTTACAAACACGACACTTATTTTGGCGTATGTCCCTCAGATCAGCCTGTAGAGCACAGAGTCTTATGTTACAAATCTGCTCAGGATGTACCTTGACAAAAACTATGATGGGGTCCTGAGTATCCCCAAGGTTCTCCCATTCCCTATCATCAAACATTTGGCCTGACGTTTGATAATCCACACACATTATTGCATCGGTGACAATGCTGCTCATTGTACCATCTCAGAAATGGGTATTCAACTTCAAACACTGAACACCAAAAACTATTCATGTGAACCATGCTAGAAAGAGATAGTATGTTGATGCTTTTCATCTTGCACTCATCAGGATTACAATGCAAGTAAACCACTTTAGAATGGAGATAACAATTTACACAGCAGGAGGAGGTGGTGCTGATTATTTGGATTATGGTTGGCACAACAAATGGAGACCCTGTTGCAAACAATGTGCATGAATGTAAAATACATAATAATAATAATACATGCACATATTATTGAATCCAACTGAGTGCTGTACATGACTTGGCCTAGATATCTACAATTTGTTTCTAGGAATCTAGGATTTTACACCCTTGTGATAGTATGGCCCACTGTCTAATTATGGGCTTACTGATTGAGCATTAGAATCTCTTTTACTTTAGTGACGCTACTTCAAAGAATTTTGAACATATATACAAACATGTAAATCAAGGAGTAGGCCATTGAGCCACTCTAACCTCCTCAGTCATTCAATAAGATCATGGCTGATCTGATTGTAATCCCAAATCTACATTCCTGCCTAGTATTGATAACCTTTCAACCCTGTGCTTAACAAGAAGCTATCTCCCTCTGCTTACTTTTTTCAGGGTGAGTGTTCCAAAGACTCGTGACTGTCTGAGAGAAAATGATTTTTTCTAATCTCTGTTTTAAATGGGTGACTCCTGATTTTTAAATAGTGATCCTTAGCCACTCTAGCATGGGCTAAGATGTTTCAGGGTTGCTCTAAGTCGGGCTGTGAGTCTGCAGAAGGGGAGGGATCCAGCAGCTGGGTCTGTTGTATGATGGATATACACCAGGTGCAAAGAGCTATAGATTCTCAGTGCCTCATATGCTTGTGACACACATTAGCTGAGTCAGCAACAGAGATATATTTATCACTTAATAAGACTCTAGGGTCAGTTTTCTTCATAAAACGTTCAGTGGCAATGATGGATGTGAATGTTAGAAATGGTCTGGATCTTCATGGCTGTCATGAAATATGTGCTCACCATGGCTTTTATGGCCAATGTAGACACAACCTCATTCAGAGAAAGAGAGTATGCCATCTTTGGTATTTTCATAAGGCTTCCCTAGATTTCTTTGCTTATGTTCCTCCACTCCACTGCAGAAAGGTTCAGAAACTACTGCAGGAGTATAGTACAAGAGCTGCTGGAAGAGCCTCTTGGCAAGTGATTGAACTGCTGGCTTGCTTTTCAGTTGTGATAATATCACAGCCAAGCCTAATTTATTTTGTTCTCCCCTGGCATGCACTGTCTAGCAAGAGGTGCTTAACTACCTTCAAAAATGGGACTTCTTCCTGACTACTGCCTGTTGCTTAATGATTTGTAAAGACCTTAAGCAGTTTATGACTGCCATCCTAAAGAGTTGTTTATGCTGATAAGGTTCTTAATAGGTTAATTGCAAGGGTGTATCGATACATTAAAGGGGAGGCTAGACAAACATATGAGGTAAAAGAGAATAAAGGGTTACAATGATAAATTTAGATCTTTTCGTGGAATGTGAATGTCACTGTCAAGACGTTGCATGTCCCTAATTGCCCCTGAACTGAATGACTTTCCAGGTCATTTCAGAGGGCAGTTAAGAGTCAACTACATTGTTGCAGCCTGGAGACCCATGGAGGCCAGACCAAGCAAGGATGGCAGATTTCCTTCCCTATAGGACATTAGTAAATCAGATGGGCTTTTTAAAAAAAGCAGTCAATGTTAGCCAATATGGTCACCATCACTGACACTAGATTAACATTCCAGATTTAATCGAATCCAAATTGCAATGGGTGCCATGGTGGGATTGTGCACCTATGTCCCTTGAGTAGTAGCCAGTCCAGTGACATTGCCATTAAACCAACATTTCCCCCAGGAATAGTGATTGGTCGAGCAGGTTGACCTGTCACTTTGAGGTAGCATAGGATGACAAATAGCTCACAAAGCAAGAAACTTATTCCTTCTGGAGAGGGACAGAGGAGAGAAATTTTTCGTAAAAAGAGGGGGATAAAAAAAAAGCTGTAGCTTAACCTTTTTTAATAAAGATGTGAATTTACTATTGTGAGCAGTTCCCATATTGAAAGAGCAATTTGTTATGGATCTGTCTGCAAACAGTGGATTAACTAGGTAAGGGCTCTGCGACAGAATGGCAATAACCTACTTCTTGGCCACCTGCTCTGGTGCTGCATCATAACAAGTTGATCCTAAAATATTTTTATCCTAACCTTGTTGTGTGCTGTTGTTACCCTTTTTCCCATCTTTGGCCCCTTCACTAACAGAAGCAAATTCAGAAAATTCAGAAATCAAGATCTGGAAGATAAAGCTAGTTTCAGTGATGGTGACCGTATCATTATCATTACCAACTATCAACTTATCATTTAGTTCACAAATCTGCCATCCTTACCTGGTCTGGCCTACATATTACTTCAGAACCATAGCAATGTGGTTGACTCATGAAGGAATAAACTACATATGTCAGAAGTTAAGTCTACTGTCCCCGGGTTCTGTTTGGAAAAATAACTAATACTTCAAACCTTTGCTCACTATCAATTTTTTTTTGTTTATCCTATCAAATTTCTTTCAAATTGGCCTGCTGTGTTTTTAATCTATTGTCATTTTGATTTTTTTTAGGTTTTGATATTCACATCTGCTTCTTGTCATTTCAGGTAAGCCCAGGTAGTAAGGCAGCCCAAGCGAACATCAGCCAGGGAGATACTATCGTGGCCATAGACGGGGTCAGCACAGAGGGCATGACTCACCTGGACTGCCAGAATAAGATCAAGTCAGCCACCTACTCCCTGAACCTGACCCTCCAGAAGTGAGTGCAGATTTGTTCGTGTGACATGAATTGATGTGAGGGGTGGAGAATGAGATTACAATGCATTGTTAGTAATCTTATTCACATGAGATGTCACTTTGTGAAGCTGAAGCCTCCTGTCTGGATATAAGACTCCATCTACCTTGTTTTGGTTTGAATGAATTGGGGAAGAGAGTGAGGGAGTGAGTGGGTAGGGGGGTACAGGGCAGGCAGAGATTGTCTGCGCTGCCTGTAGTTACAGAATTAGTACTATTTACTGGTTATGTCTTTCATTGCAAAGTATCCTGATGGACTGTTGGGTTAACCTACTGTAAAAATTATGATTTTTTAAAAAATTACCTTGCATGGAATTAATTTTTATTTTCAAGTTTATGGATCAAATAATAAGCCGGCACAGCCTTGAATCCTTTCAACATGTTTAAAATGTGTATATTACTCTAGTCGCAAATGAATCTTGATGAAAAGAGAGACATGTTACTGAAGGTTTCATCTTACACACATCAGGACAAACACAAGAATACCAAATTTTAAATGATCACGACGATTTATGTGGTAAAGGACGCTGAGTAGTTGCCAAATCAGCTCTGACTGACTGAGCGAAAGCCTTGAGGAACTATACGTTCCCTAAGCTCCCAGGTAATTCAAAAGGATTCAAGGCTTGAATATATTACTTTTTCCACATAAAGGATCCCTGTGTGTGATCGTGTGCCAGTTTTAGCAAGGGTGAATGAATCATTTTGTAAGATTGATAATCTTAAATTGGGATTCTGGATTGTTCAGCAACTATTGTCCAATTAGGGAATTACACTTGGCAGTGGATTTTCAGTTTTGGGTCTTGCAAGCCTGGATTGGTTGTGCAAGTGCTTCCAGCAAGTATGTAAAGGTGTAGTTTTTTTTTGAAAAAAGCAATGTTTATTTTACATATAGTCTTTCATGACTTCAAATGCCCCAAATCACTTCACAGTCAGTTAAGTCCTTTACAAATATAGTCACAGTTGTAATGTAAGAACAATAGCAGCCAAATTGTGCACAATAATCTCCCTCAAACAGAACACGATAATGATCAGACAATCTGTTTCAGTGACTTTGGCTGAAACATGAAATTGGCTGAGGCATTACTTCTCTTCTAAAATACTGTGGAAATGTTCACATCTGCATGAGTTTAATCTGTAATTGAGTGCACCTCTAGCAGCCTGGTTTAGGTAAATCAGGTCTATAGACTGAGACTTGAACCCTTACAGTGTTTGGACTCCAAAGCAAGTTCAGTGCCCAGTGACCCACAGATAGAACTGTTTGTGTACCACCTGAATAGTGCATAGGAGTTGTTAAGTAGTTATGTCCAACTGAAATGGCATGGCTTGCCAGTGTTGCCTGCCACCTTAATCAAGTATCTATTTAGCAATCAGGTATTTGTGGCGCAGTGGTATTGTCTCTACCTCAGGTTCAAATCCCATGCCAGAGCTGTGTTGGAACCAGTTGATTTTTATATTTAAAGAACTATATTTAAAAGCCTATACCATAAAAAAAATAGAAACCATCCAAAAGGGTTAAATAGCCTTTTCAGAAAATGGGATCTTTAACAGTTCCCTTGTGACAATCCCATGGAACAATTAAGTGGTACAGCCATAATTTTTGGAGATGAGATGTTGAAGTAAATGAATCATGAGTGTCCTCACACTGACTGAGCTCCTTCCCTGGAAATAAAAGCTATCATCCAGAATTGAGATTTATCCCGTGCCATTCCTTTATGTGAAGTCAATTTATCTTCACATTCTGGAAGATGCAATGTTAATAGCTATTAACAGTGAGCTTCCTGAGATATAAGGTCTCCTTGTTTTGACAGTCAGTGCTGTCTGGAAAATTACTTCATGTTTTTGCCTGCATTCAATGACTATGAAAGTGTCTTAATTGATCCTGCAGAGCACTTTATCACAAACTATTTCCTATCTTGAGACATAGGGCTGAATCTTTCTATTTTGGCAAAGATTGGGTTGTGTCAAGTTGTTTTGAGAGTTTTTCGCAGTCAGGCCTAATGGGTTCTCACTATACCTTACCAAACTCTCTGCATTAGTTACCTACTGCGTCACTATGCTGTGACTCACATCCAATTCCACCTTACCTTATCACACGCTGTTCCCGAATAACTTACAACTCGGCAGATATCCGGCCAAAGACCACCATCCCTTGTGTCCTTGCCATCTTTAAATACCTCTGTACACCCAGTTGTGCATGGGTATTCCAAAGCTGCTCTGCTCATTGATGGACAGAGTCAGAACATGGTGGAGAAGGGGAAGATGGTACTGTGTTTCTCCAGAGGGACCTGGACATCCTAGTGGATGAGGTGGTCCAGAGCAGAGGTATTCTGTTCTCTGAGGACCAGGAGAGTAAGGCTGTGCCACCAGACCTGAAAGCTTAGTCTGAGGCCACCAACCCAGTCAGTACTAACTCCAGGGTATTGGGGTATAGCCAGCAGTGCAGTGAGAAGGTCAATGTCTGGAATAAGTCCCACAACCTTCTCCCTGCTACCTTACACTGACTCTATCTCTGCTACTGCATCCACCTCCCAGCAAAGCTCATGCTCCACCATGCTCAATATTGCATGCAGCACTACTTATAACAATCATAGAATCCCTACAGTGTGGAAACAGGCCATTTGGCCCAGCAAGTCCACACTGCCCCTCTGAAGAGCATTCCACCTAGACCCATTCCCGTCTCCCTGCATTTCCCATGTCTAACCCAAACATCCCTGGGCACTATGGGCAATTTATCAATGCCAATCCACCTAGCCTGCACATCTTTGGACTATGGGAGGAAACCCACACAGACACAGGGAGAATGTGCAAACTCCACACAGACAGTCACCCGAGGCTGGAATTGAACCCGGGTCCCTCGTGCTGTGAGGCAGCAGTGCTAACCACTGAACCACCGTGCCACCCCTAAAATCTCATGTAGTCCACTTTACTCAAACCCCTGTAAGATTCCACCCATAGTGAAGAATGGCAATTTCATACAATTTCTTCATTATTAAAGATTTCAAAAATGCAGACAGATATTTCCCATTTCGTACCTATTACATCATGTACCAGATTCTCATCACACAGAGCTGAATTTATTAATATTTTTTCCGAATGAAAGGAAAATGAATCATTTACTTTTTCTCATCCACTCCATTCATTTCTATAAACAATTTAAAACATTGCTTTAACCATTTCCAATGTACTGAATGATCTCCTGTTCCTTTGTGTTAGCATTATTGGATTTGTTCATTCCACTTAAAGTTTCTTTTTAAATTCACACACTTTGACCTTCACTTTGCACCTTACACTTTTTTCTCTGTCACTGTTTATATGAATTGTTAGTGAAGAAAATGCCAAGGTCAATATAATTCACCTTCTACCAGCCTGACAGATGTGCATTGCAACAGCATGGAGCTGTGATTTAGTAAGATGACAGAATGCTTTCGAATTTACTGTGTCTTCAAGAACAGGACATGTTATTTTCAGTTCAGTTCATTATTAGGATGTGAATGTCATTGGCAAGATCAACATTTGTCCCTCAGAGCTGCCTTCTTGAGCTGCTGGTGTAAATACTCCCAAAGTGCTTTTAGGGATGGAATTCCAGAAATCTGACTCAGTGACAGTGAAGTAACGGAGATATATTTCCAGGTAAGGATGGTCAGTAGCTTACAGGGGATCTTGCAGGTGATGGTGTTCCCATATATCTGCTGTCCTTGTCCTTCTAGGTGGTGAGGTTTGTGGGTTTGATAGATGGTGTTGAAGGAACCTTGGCAGGTTCTGGCCAAGATAATACAGCTTATCATATGTTACATCAATTAGTCCTTAAAAACAAGCATATCACTCCCTTAAAGGAGGCTTGTACTGCAGTGGTGTTGTTCTGACTTCTGGACCAGAAGGTCTGGTTTCAAGTCTACATGCCACAGAGGCATGCTACAATGTGAGTGAGGAAATAGTTTGTGAATAATTTCCCAACCTTCCCTTTTCCAGTAAAAATATGCCAATTTATAATATCACTTTTCATTATCTAGCCCTTTCATTTGCTTATTGTGATTACTCTCTTCACTGTCCTTTCAGAAACTGCAATATCCCTCTGTGATGACTAGAACTAGATGTGGTACAATCAAACTTAGAAAACTGTATAAAATGCCACCAAGTAGTTTAACTGGTCAGGATGTTCAGATTAGTCATTTTCTCTACACTTTTTCATTTAAGTAATAGACCTTTGTGAAGCATTAGCAGCAGTAAGCACATTTACTACAAGTGTAGGAATATAGGGACAAGAGGAGGTTATTACATCTATTCTACTATTCAATGATCTGTGAGCTAACTCCATTCTCCCACCTTTGCCTTATATCCTTTAATATGTTTGGTGAACAAAAATCTATCAATACTGGGTTTAAAATGTATAGCTGATCTAGCATCAGTTGCTGTTTACAGAAAAGAGTTCCAAACCTCCCTGTTTTGTGTGTGAAATGGTTTCCTAATTTCATTCCTGTAAGGTCTGGTTCTCGCTTTTAAACCTAGTTATGTAATCCCCAACTAACAGAAATAATTTCTCTTTAATTATCCTATCTGTTGCCCTGCATATTTTGGAGACTTTAATCAAATTACCTTTTACGCTTCTCAATTCCAGGGAGTAAACCCAACTCACTTTAATTTCTTCTTGCAATTTCACCTTTGGGGTCCAGATATCATTCACATAAATCTACATGACAATCCCTACAAGGCCAATATATTCTTCCAACTGTACAGTACTCAGAACTACTGAGGTTATGTTCTGACATCGGATGAAGTTTGAAGGAAAGGACTTATATTTGCAGTTTTATAGCTCCAATCACATCACCAGGATATCCTAAAATGTTTTGCAGTCAGTGAAGAACATTTGAAATGTAGCTGATATTGTGATGTAGGGAAATATGGCAGCCAATTTGTGCAGAGCCATCTCCCACAAAACAATATTAGGATAATGACCAAAATATCTGC